CTCTCTCTCTCTCTCTCTCTCTCTCTCTCTCTCTCTCTCTCTCTCTCTCTCTCTCTCTCTCTCTCTCTCTGTCTCACTCTTCCCCTCTGATCTCCCCACACATGTCCAAAGATGCAGGGCTAGGGAAATGCAAACACACACGGACACGTACAGTCTCCACGCTGCATAGCTTCCTCGCCCCGTCCTCGCTCTGGTTTGTGTCTGGAGGCCATGTCAGACCGTGTGTGTTGTTTGTTTTGTGCCTCTGACTCAGGTCTGCCTTATTCCAATTCGCACACACACATTTCAAAATACATACAGACAAACACATCCATACAGATACACAAGTACAGAAAATCCGCCACATAGCAACACACACATTGACTCATCTTCCATGCATTTTAAATTGACGTGTACAGTAGTTGCTCTTTTTCTATGTTATTTTCTTTCTAGTGTATTTTTCCCCCCTTGTGCCCGGTCAGCTCTGTTATTTACATATTGCTGATAATGATTGTACATATTGCCGCTAATAGATTTTTGATACAGCATGTGAGCAAGGCCACAGTGTAAGTAGCAGGTAATTGAAGAATTTGCATAACACTCTCCAGTCCTTAAACAGGGCTCTGCAGCAGTGCCCCCTAATGGCCAGAGGCTCGAATTTATGAAAACTCATGGCTGATGGTTGAGGGAAATCAATTGACTAATCAGAAGCCAATCAGCGGCTACAATGATGGGCAATTAGAAGAAAGGGAAAAAACGCACAAAGTCTGAAGGACGCTGATATTTAAAGAGCAAATCAGACATGTGTTGATTCAATAATAAAGGCTCAGTGTGTTTTGATTGCGAGAAGAAACTTTAAAAGCCAAGTATGACAAAGCCCCGATTCCACAACACCTCATTACACATGTGTACCGAATTTAACAGCATGAATGTAACACAGTCGGATCAGTAGACTCAACACAAGGCATGTCACAACATCATTAACGGTAGTATCCCGATTCAGGAGGTTCCCTTTTGAGGTTGTTTTTTTCTTTCGGGGATGCTGCGAGCTGTGTAAGCCTGCTATTTGTGCGCCTTTCATTCCTCTTACCTGGGGGAGAAGCTCGCTCGCGCATGTTAGTTTGCCGTTATTATTATTTCCACATGCTCTCACTTAAAACGGCTGGCTAATCCTCGGTCACACGCCAGCAGCGCGCCCAGGATTATCTGTGTTTGTTTTCTCACGCGGAGGAGAGATTGCGTTAATCTCCTCAGAAGGGAAAAAAAGCAGAGAGAAAGAGGAAAAGAGAGACCAATTTCTTGCTCGTAAATTGAAAAAAAACAAGGAAGACATGGGACATCTGAGAGTGAAATAAGACAAGAGACAAGTGACAGAGGGAAGGGCGGCAGAGGAAGAACAAAGTCAAAAGGGAGATTTAAAGCGTCTTTGTTCCGTCAACTCTGCCGTGGTGCTTGTTGGCAGAGATGTCCAAAGCTGTGTCTGTCATCAGACAAATGTGATGTATGATCTTGATTTAGAATGCAAAAAATCTAGAAAGAACTCAAGCTGTCAAGGACAGCAGGGTGCTGAGCACACACTCAGATCTGTGGCACACACACATCTTCTCATTTTATATCATGTATTCAAAGTCAGGCAGAGGCGCCACCTCCGGGATTTGAAGCCTCCCCCTGCAGTATTGTACGTTTACTGTAATGCATGCATACATTCACACGCACACACACTTTTTCAATAGAGCGTGCATGCCTATGGGTCGTCCTCCCTGAGAAGAGAGAGATGTATTATGTATCTCTCGTCTACCATGCAGGTTAGCTAATCAATTTCTGCTAACTGTGAAGAATTTTTAATGGAGACATTTGAATTTCAAAAAGGACTCAAGGAGCATTGCAGGACAGGAGAAGGTTATACTTGGAGAGCGTGTGGGTGGCAACATTAACAAAAGATACGAGGGTGTGTTACTCCTCTATGTGCAAGGCTTGCTTGATCACAATAGCACAAAATCAAGTCTGTTAAACACCAGTTAAAAACAGCAAGGTGTTGAATAATGATATGCAGGTAATAGATAAGGAGGCTGTATCTAGTGATGTTTTGGTCTTTGACACATACAGCATATTTAGCATTTAAAAATAGGTAAAAGACATGGAGACGCCCATGGAAACTAATAGTTTGTTTAAATAGTAACTCTTTGTAGCATTGCAGAGTTATTACACCATCTCTCCTGGTCCTGTTTTACAGAGCTGTCAGCACTTTGGACACTGTGGAGTATTAATGATTGAGAACTGAAACTGCAGAATAGCAGTAGACTACAGTAGTAGAACTACTGCCTCTACATCAAGTGAACTAGTTTTGACCGGGGGTGGGGTTGTGTCAGGACTGAGGTCACTGTCCAACTATCAATTTAAGCTGGTGACAAAGACCCTGCTAAAACGTGAGCCATCACTGGATTGTATAGAATATGTTGGAGTAAAAGTACAAAATGTACCTCTGAATTGTATTAGGGTAGAAGTACTAAGTACCATAACATGTAAATACTCAAGTAAAGTACAAGTATCTTAAAATTGTACTTAAGTACAGTACTTGAGTAACTTAGTTACTTCCCAGCTATGGTATTATTAACATTATATCAATATGTCCTTTTATATACAGCAACACATCCCTAGTATCCACTGTTGTATTTCTTGACAGCCAGATGTATGATCTAGGCTCTATAAATGGATGGAACTCATCAGTAAGACAGCGGGAGAGGGAAACGATATGTGTCGGTGATCAGAGGGTAATGAGGGGGATGGTGCATGTCAGGATTCAAACACATTTATGCAAAGGTCCTGTTCGAGCTAAAACGAGGTGTTAAGTTGCTCTTTAAGGTGTTTGTGTGCAAGTTCCAGCAAAGCACTGTGGGTGAAAACATTGGTGAGGAACATTCACATCTGTTCACAGACGTGTAGCAGACAGAAAAAAACATAAAAACAACAGTGGAGTCGCTGTGTGATAAGTGCTTCCTGTGCGAGCCAATGAGCGGGTTTGTCAGAACTGGTCCCAACCGCACACACACAAGGAGGAAAAAGATGGGTGGGGGTTTGGTGATGGAGTGTGTGAGGTGGCGAAGGAGGGGGGGGGGACTGCTGTGATGGAGTGCTGGGTGAGGGGAGGGAGGGGGGGTGATGAGTGTGTGCTCACAGTGTAAGTGACACCTCTCCTCCTCAGACAGATTGTCTCTCTCTCCCTGTAATGGGGTCTCCGTTAGAGATCCCTTTCCCTCCGTCTACTCAACCTAAACCCCTCGTGAACACACACGCTCTCTCATCCCCCAGGACAATTCCTCTTGTTTATTTATCTTTTCTGCAGAGATATGGTCCAAATTGCCCACATTTCGATGTCATTTAACTCGCCCTTTTTGTCTGCGTAATCTTTAATCAATATCCACCACTTTCTAAAACCGCTGATTTTCTGTAACGGTGTTTACGGCTCGGAATAAGAAAATAAATGGAAAAATGAAGATCAGAAAGGAAGTAGAGCGCTCGGGTGAAAGGATTTCAATATTCCCACTGCTGTTGGAATCCTCAGAATGATTATTCCATGTTTGAATCTGACAGAGAATATTTAGCATAGCCAGGGAGCCTATTTATCCTCTGTCCAACATGGTGCTGTGTGCCAATCACACTGAGAGGATTCATATGCACACTTACTTAAGGACACACACTGAGGGAGGATTTCAGGACACCCGGGCTCAAAACAACCACTAGTACTTGCACACAAGCCCACACACCGACACTTCAAACAGGTATTTCTGACCCAGACCGAAACATGTTTCAAAATATAATCAACAGCAGGTGTATTTCAGGGTGAAACCTGATCAGAGGCAATCTATTCGCTTCAGAGGCGTCCCGCTGGCGGGAATGCGGGGGAGAAATCACACAGACACCTCAGACAAATAGGGTTCATAACTTCTCTGTAACTAACAATCTCTGGGGCCTGAGCCTTAATCCCAAATGAAATCTCTTATACCTGTGAAGATGCTCGGATACAATGGAATTTTTAACGCTTCCCAGGTACAGGTCCCTATTGTTATCGTTGAGTTGCCATGGAGATTGAGACGATGTTTTAAACAAGGGTGTTCCTTATGCAGTGAATGGTTCTGTTTTCAATTTCTAAGTAGGAAAGGATATTGCTTATGGCAACTATGTATCGACAATGCCTGAATCCATTCTGTATGTTCACAAAAGCAAGTTTTACTCCCACATGAGGTCTGAAAGAACTCCTACCAACATGTTTGTAACATAGAACAATCTACTCACTACCTGCCAGGTATCTACCAACGCAATTTCAAGAGTGTTGCCAACACCACACAATGCTCAACGTAAATATCCCTAACACCCCATGCTTCCATCCATCTGTGCTGCTTGTAGATAGCACTAATCTCACACTGCTCCTCGGAATACAGCCTCTTCATTCAACACCCTGACAATAAAGCCCAAAGCTATATATCATTTAGTCTTAGCATGTCAAGAAGATCCCGACATGAACAGCAATATCAAAGTTACTTTATTGTCGTGGCTCTCAAGAAGCCTCTCAACTCTTTGAGCATCGGGAATCTCATTTGCAATGCTGTAGCATCAACGCCTCATGAATGTCTCTCCTACTTCACACAGACCAAACATCTAAGCATCCACCCACATCAGCCTTCAAAGTAACACTTCAAAATTCAAAACGCTGCACCATGCAAGGTAGCCATGGTATTATTTACTCCAAATCATTTTTTGATGTTACCATTTTCTAGCCTCCGTAGCTGTTACTGTATCTGTTGGGATAATTCATTATTTCCCATCTCTCTGCTTCTGAAGTCTTCTGTAGAACATTTTGTGTGAAACTTTGAACCAAAAATGGGTAATTTGCATTATTTGCCACCAAAAAGTGTCAACAATTTCCTATTTCACAATGCCCTTCTAAACCTTACACAAGTAGATGCTTCCATATTAAAATGTTTTAACCCATCTAACTAACTCTTCTCCATTTTTCTCCCCAGCCTGTTGACTATGAGAGCCGGAGCTCCTACTCCTTCTCTGTGGAGGTTCTCAACCCCATAGTGGATCCTCGATTCTTGCGTCGAGGCCCCTTCAAGGACCGGGCCTCCATCAGAGTAGCAGTGCTCGATGCAGACGAGCCTCCGAGGTTCTCCAGAGCCAGATACCATATGGATGTTTCTGAAAACTGCCCGCCAGCCTGCACTGTGGGCCGGGTCAGCGCTGTAGACCCGGATACTGGTCTTACCAATAATATCAGGTACAGTAATAGCCATCTGTCCTCATATATTATATAACACTTCAGAACAACTTTTGTTTATGCTTGTTTTTAATATGTTTGTTATGGGTTAGCTAGCCAACTAGCTTAGCTCTTTTTGTACATGTTAAAACAACTTGAAAATGAATGAGCTTTAGAGGTGCTGGTTTCTTTTGTTACCTTTATTTGTTGCCTTTTTTGTGACTGTGCTTTTTTCTTTATTTCCCTGAGACTTAGATGAGATACACTCAATGAAGCTATAGCCAATAGCTGGTCAGCTTAGCTTTGGACAAAGATTGTAAACTGACGGAAATAGCCAGCCCATCTCTGTCCAAGGCTGTAGCTTCATTGAGCGTATCTCATCTAACTCTCAGGGGAAAAAAGGAAAAAGCACAGATCCCAAAGCACAAGTATACAAATATTAAATTCCATTTTTATCCACAACAAAGCTGCTGATTGAAAAACCAAAGACAAGTTGGTGCTAAGAGTTTCATTTTTTCCCGTTTATTTAATGTTTTTGAGGAGAGGATTTGTTTGAAGCGAGGGATTTAGAGTTGTTTGATTGAATTCAAACTTTGCTTTTCAACTAAAAGAAACAAAACACAACAGTAACAGCTCACCAAATGAATATAACCAAATGTTCACTCAATGTTCCCTTGATCTGACAGTAGCCATATACGTTTTTGAGGTCCTATCCTCTCTCTTCTGTTTGCAGTAGGTTTAGTCTGGGAGGGCGAGTGATTTGCCTGTAAAGCTGTGTCCCAATTAGCACGGGCAAAAGTGCTGAGAGTGAGCGTGTGGGGAGGAATGACAGTTGGTATATGTATAGAGATATTTAGATAATCTGTGGCACTTCAAAAGAGCTCCTATCAGACGCGATAATCTCCCTATATTAATTATTTGGCGATTTGAAAGCAGACTTCCTTATCGCTCCCTCACACACTTGCCCTGTGTGCTTCTTTCCCTCTGCACCCCACTGCCATCTCGGCTTTCTTCTATCCGTCACTTCTTCTTTCTATACCTCTCTCTGCCCCTTCCTCATTTAACTTTTTCTCAACACAACTATCTTTCTCCTCCCACCCTACTTTCTCTTCTTCAGGTTCTCTATTGATCCTCAGTCAGACCCAGAGGCTCTGTTTCGTATCACCCCAGACACCGGCCTCATCACCACCGCCATGGAGCTGGACCGCGAACGCGACCATTGGCACAACATTACTGTCATCGCTACGCAAAGAGGTCAGAGGTCGCTCTCACTTGACGCTAAGATATCCTTAGAGCTTGTCAATTGGATTGTTACTGTTATTTTGAGCAAAAAGTCTTCAATGAAACCTACATTTTTCTACCACTGACACCTGCACTCACTGATGAGCATAAGGGTTTAAGAGATTTGAGGAAGTGTAAATTGTACGGAAACTGAAAAGCACAGTATCTACTGTGAGATGAAGTCCACTAAGCGGCTTAGCACTGGAATCATCAAGCCATGAGGGGAATGCTGTTTGGCACCACAAGTAGTTTGTTACAGCTTGCCTGAGGATCAATTGATCTATACTGTGTGATATCGAATGCTGCGATAGACCTCTTCTCATAAGGATTCAACTGGAAACAAAGAATTAAAGCGACAAATTGGTCGCAAACAGTGCTTTACAGAGAACAGTAAACACCTTTCAGATAAAAGGCAAGGCCTTTCTACAAACCCAAAGGTTATGTTTCAATCAGTAAAGACACAACAAATGAACAAAGGGGGACAGATTAAAGGACATTCACATGGTCTATTTAGTAGATACTCTCGAGCTTTCAATCATGATCACGGTTAAGTTGTTTTGTCAACTGCTGTTTCCAAGATCAAGACTTTGAAACAAAGATATTCTGTGTGTTAATAAACCAACACGTTTTGGTATTGGTCCTGTTAAGTACATCAATTCAAAATGGTAAAAACCCTAGAAGCCATTTGAAGATCCCCTGGGGACATTTAGTTGTTGCAGGGAAAAGGAAGAGTGACTGACAGCATGAGAAACAAAACACCTAACGTGTTTTGTTTAAAACAAGATGGATGGCAATTTTGTATATTTGTTGTTGTCAACAAATGCAAAGAAGAGCTAAACTAACCTCTCTGAATGCTTTTCGATTTCCATAATGTGGCACTCATTCCAAGCTCATTGTTTCCCTAAAAGGTCATGAATATATAGTTTCCTTCTTTTAAATGGCTGAATAATCTTATTTAACAGCTGGGAGTTATATAGCTTCTGGTAAACCTCACTCGAACAAGAGAAATAGTGCATTGTTGGGAAGTGTTTTCAGCCACGGAATAACTCCAGTGAGTATTAATAGAAATATTTGTCCACATGTTACAAACCCTATGAAAACACCAGATGTTTTACAGGAAAACATATGACAATTACGTTGAAACTAATTGTATTTTAACGGCGGATGACTGTGTGATTGGCCTCTCCGGTCGAGTGTTCTCTGCAGGGCGGGATGTTTCCCAACAATGATTGGACAGAACCATTGGCAGATCACCTTGTTAACATTATCAGGTTCCATCATAACACTGGGTTTAAATGTTTGATACTTTTACTCCTTAATATCAGCCATTGTGTTGTTGGTCCACTCTGTTTCGTTATTCGAGCAATATGAGTCTTGCTCCTCTGTTCTGCTCTGCTCTCTTAAGGTATTTTTATTCGATGAACCTGGGCTCCTATAGTAGAAAATGAACCAAATAGGTTTTATTTCTTTAAAAAAAAGGAAATTTACTGCCATGGTGATTGGCAAGTAATGGAATCCTGGTATGCCTGAACACCCAGTAACACTTGTAACACCCCTAACTAACTGCAAACCTAATAGTGGACTGACTCAAAATAGACTTCAAGATCAATGTTCCCGATATGGACATAAAACACATCAACTAATCAAAAAGGATGGCCATTTTAGAAAACAATGAATCTCTATGGTACAAAAAAGACAATATATTAGACTTTGAATACACTGAGAATACTTGTTATGATGATCAATTGGATTTTGGTGTTTTGATTGGATTTGTTGACACCATCAAAATGTAGCACATCAAAAGATCAACTGGGATTATCATTGGTTGGCAATGCTACTTGTTCAGGTTCTGTCAACAGATGTTGTACCAATAACCAAATCTGAGGTTTTTGTGCAGAAGCCTGATGGTGTTGTATGATTAGAAAACACTCAGATGCTTATAAGAAAGCACTACAAATGACTGCCTTCTTCTGATAAGGGTGCCAGATCACAAAATGCTGATACATGCGGGTCACTTTTGAAGGCATCATCAAACAACCACTTTTAATTTTTTTGTCAGGATATCTTTTAATTAACACGAGTCTCCTGGCACATTCTAAAAGTCATTCCTGGCAGGTCCCAATCCATTATAGGGATCCCTGTCTCAGCCCTTTGAAAACTCAATCAAAGTAGTTGGTGTAAAAGTGTGAATATTGATGGAGAATGCTGACCGATGGCTGCTGTGTTCAAGGAGAGGAAGTTGTTTTCCTGCCAAGTCTTGCTCTGGACAGACTTAATCTCTACTTAAATCTACTCAGGGCTCCTCGTGGGGGCGGTGTCGGTAGGACTGGGATGGCAGCACAGCTAGTACCTGTCTTGAATAATGAGCTCGATCTAATAAACAGACAGTTGACATAAACCGCAGTAGGAGTCCTGGCATGCCTGCCATGGCCACTGGCATGCCAGAGCACCCAGAAGCATTACAGCGAGAGCTCATTTTCAGCTTTTCAGGGGCTGGAAGCAGTCGCTGTCATCTGTGACACAGTGTTACTGCTCTAGGTTTAAGAACATGGTGTGGGAGTGTTTGTGTGTGTGTCTTAATTTAAAGTGTGGCCCAGTGTGTCTCAGGCTCGGCTGCTTAAATAAATGACTGGATGTGGGTGCTTGTGAGCCAGGATCCTGCCTGAGCCCTACACAAGAGCAGCCTAAAATGTAATGGTGAATGTTCAGCTCAGAGTGCGTTTCAAGCCTGGCTGTGAGAACTTCATGTTCAAGTGTGTGTAGGTATCCAAGTGAATTGGGTATGGGACACCCTCTGCCAATCCGTTTAAACTTCACTCTTGTGTGACTGCATGCAGATTGACTGCTTTCTACATCCCTCCTCAGCTCCCTCTCTCTTTTTTCTTCGAAACACACACTTGACGCTGTGAGATGCTTTGGCTAAGAATGGAACAGTTTGATGTGGAAAAATGTGACTGCTATGGGAGCAGCAGTGGTACTCCAGCTGGGAGCCTGTGAGCTGTAACACAATCCAAATTAAACTAAATGCTCTGCTGCTGTGTATTTCGCCAATTTTGTTCTCGCTAATGTGATACGAGTGCTGTTGAAGTTTCCGGACAAAGACCGGAAAGCTTGATCCCACCTGAGGTCAATTGAATGGATTTAATGGAGTGCATACAGTACATGGCACCTCTGTGGTAAAACACTACTGATTGTTGCATTGGGGAATTGTATTCATACATTTATTTCCAAACACAGTTCTCTGCTGGCATCTTCGAGGGCTGTATTGTAAACTGCCTGTTTCTGATTGGCTCTTTCAGACAATCCCAGCCAGGTGTCAAGAGTTCTGGTTGCAATAGAGACACTGGACCTGAATGACAACGCACCTGAACTTGACCGGCAATACTCAACAGCCATGTGCGACTCGTCCACCATCGGGCAGGTCAGTATGTGTTTAAATGTCAATGTGTTTGCCTGTATGTTACAATACAAAGATGTTAAGCCACTACGTCTATAAAATAACTCCTGGAACAAGCTTGGGTGTGTCGCAAAATGGGACAATCCCAGTGGAAATTGGTGTGGTATATCGTGTTTTTTCTCCTGCAGGAACTTGACAAAATATAATTGGATGTAAAGTTGTTGAAACAGGTTCTGTTTTGGCTTTTCCAACCACCCTGGGAATAATTCCCAGAGACTATATTTTTACACTCCTGTGGTTATACTAAATGCAGGTTCCAGTTTCTCTTAAGTGGCTGGCAGTGCAGAACATTGTGATTTGTCAAGAAGGTATAAAAGAAGCTAGTGTCAAAACCTTACAAGGTGTTTTAAAAAGTTCAAGGTTATGGTAAGTCCCAGGTTGTTAAGTTCTTGTATTGTGAATCAATGAATCTACCACAGTGTCTTTCATAATATATAACAACATGTTCAAGTCCTGCACATCTGGGTTTGATATCTTTGTTTTTCTGTTAGAGTCAAACGCTGGGGATGTTGGTTCGCTTCTTTCATTCAGGCTGAAATATCTTCACAACTACTGGATGGGTTGTCACAAAATGGTGTACAAACATTCATAGTCCCCTTAGGATGAACCTTTTGTGATCCCTTAACTTTAATTTAGTGCCATCATTGGATACTTACTCAAATGTACGCTCTAATACATGTAAACAGGTGACAATCCCTTAGGGAGCTATAGTCTGTCTTTACTGCTAAAATGCTACGCAAAATCCTAGTCCATATGTAAACTAAATCTTTTTTAAAATTTAGTTTTTCCTTTGTTCTCAAACGTAATGAAAACACAACAAAACGATGATATTAGGGATGATCCCATATCAAAAATGTCTGCCAGTGCTGATGTTTGGAGTAACAATTTTACCGATGCCGATGTTTTACTGTATATACTGTAATAGTAGGATAAAGCTGACTAGGCCAGCCTATCCCTTTTAAGAGAGAGGGGGGGTACGTGTGGTGCGTGCATGTATAGAGCAGGCGAGAGAGAAGATGAGCAAGAACATTGAATGTTGGATTTCATTATCGATCCTGCAGACACCCGCTACACGGGAAGTCCTGCAGCATGCACCCCCCCCCCTACAGCAGCTCCTCACAGAGGAGAGGAGAAGAGAGGACACCCACCCCACCCCCCCTCTGAATGACTTTAAAGTTACGGCAGACCCACAGTCATAGTTCTAATCCTTCAAAATGAGGTCCGGACTTCAGATTTTGTCAGTCAGATTTAAAAACAACGACGCTAGCACGACTTTGTGGCAACTCACAATGAACATAACATTGTTATGTACAGTTTAATGTCACAAGCCAAAAACACTAATAACAAAGTTTCCGAACATGAAGGAGTTTTACAAAAGAAGGCCCTAAAACTATAGGTTACTTACATAACCCCAGTTCTCAGAGTAACATGAAGTGAGATGTCTCACTATGGGATGCGCCTCATCGCGGAGCAAACAGAAGCATCAATCTCATTACGCCAATCCTGATTGGCTTGTGATCTTGACGTCAGCGTCAGGGAATTCACCCCCTATAAGTAGCTTGCGCCACGACGCATGCATCATTCAAAATAAGCACCTCTTTTCGCTTCACCATAGCAAGGAGGGCCGTCTGGTGAGACATCTCACTTCATGTTACTCTGAGAACTGGGGTTACGTAAGTAACCTATAGTTCTCATTCATAACACTCCGTTCGATGTCTCACTATGGGAAATTGTAGCTCCCGTATTGTCAGACGAACTTATCTCGAAAATCACCAAACCAACCAGAACTTAACAGGTAGAGCTCTGACTCAACCAGGTGCCCAGCACTGCTTGAGTCACACTGGGAGCAGAACGTCCAGCCTGTTAAGAGGCGGACAAAAGTGAGCGGCGAGGACCAGCTCGTCGCTGCACCAATGTCTTGGATGGGAGACATCCTGGACAGAGCCCAGGATGCAGCCAGACCCTGAGTCGAAAGAGCTCGCGGACCCGAGGGTGCCTGCGAACTCTGACTCGTATGAGCCCCAAAGCAATTGCTTCCACAAACCAGTGGGAGAGCCATTGCTTAGTAACAGGCTTGCCCTTATAAGGGTTAGCCCAGGACACAAGGGGTTGGTCATTATGACGAAGCACCCTTGATCTGTCCCTGTACGTGCGTAAAGCACGGGCTGGACACGGCAAATCCGGCCGCTGTTCCCCGGAGGAATACAGTGGCGGGGAGGATGCCTCAATGTCAAATGTGGTACCTGAACCAACCGCCTTAAGATAAAGGTAGGGTTGGGCTTCAACCACACTCTGTTTGCCCTGGGGCAAACTGAGTGCATGAAGACTGTACAGATAGCGCATGAGTGCCACTGGCTCGCTTGGCAGCTGCCAGGGTCAGCTTCATGTCACACTGTATTCAGATTGTACCACTCACGGGCCAGGCCCATAGAGCCAAGCGCTCTGGGTGTGGGTGAAAGATCGCCCCCCCCGCTTGGGACAGTATGTCCCTGCGTAGTGGGAGCTGCCATGGCTGCCCGCACAGCAGCTGATATATCTCCGCTGGCCAGTACATAGCTGGCCAGTGCGGAGCTATCAGGATAAGTGTGTGGCGTTGCTCTCTCACTCTGGCCAGAGTTGGGGGTATCAGAGCCAGGGGTGGGAACGCGTACAGAAGGCCCGGGGGCCAATCGTGCGCGAGTGCATCCACGCCTAACGGTGCATTTAGATCGCGCATCGAAAAGAACAGCTGACACTGAGAGTTGTCTTTCGATGCGAACAGATCCACCGCGGCTCTGCCGTAACGCACCCACAGCTGGCTCACAATCCTTGGATGTAGAGTCCAGTCTGCATAAAGTGGTATACCTCTGGACAGTAGATCTGCCCCGAGGTTCATCACTCCCGGTACGTGCGTCGCTCTCAGAGAGAGGAGACGTCTACCGCTCCATAGGATCAGTTTGCGCACCAGTGTGTGTAAGTGGAGAGAACGCAAACCCCCTTGGCGGTTAATATACGATATTGTGGTCGTATTGTCTGTCCTCACAAGGACGTGATGTCCCCTGAGGAAAGGCAGAAAGCGTTTTAGGGTGAGAAACACCGCTAAAAGCTCCAGGTAATTTATGTGCGCCCGCTGGAGGTCTCTGCTCCAGAGACCCCTCACCGGGCGACCTTCATAAATACCTCCCCAACCTGTCAGACATGCGTCCGTGGTGACCACTTTCCGTGAAAGGACAGCACCCATAGGCACACCTCGTACTAGAAAAGTCGGGTGCAGCCAGTGGCGCAGTGCCATTACGCATTTCACAGTAACCATAACTCTCCGCGCGCCATGGCATGTGTAAGCGTCCCAGTCGTACGACCAGGATGGCTGACGCCATGAGCCCCAGCAATCGCAGGCATGATCTGAAGAGAACATGTTTGCGCAGCTGGAAAAGAGCGAGACAAGCTCTGAAAGCTTTCACTCTTTCCGCTGACAAGCGAGCTGAAAAGGGCACCGAGTTCATGCGTAAACCCAGGAAGAGTATAGTCTGCGCGGGGCACAACATGCTCTTCTCTGTGTTTATTATGAAACCCAGGTTGAGCAGGTGCTTTACGAGGACATTTGTCTGCGTAACAGCCTCCTGCTCCGACTGTGCGAGAAGCAGCCAGTCGTCCAGGTAGGTCGCCAGGCGAATACCCTGTTGTCTTAACGGGGCTATCGCGGCTTCCGTACATCGTACAAACACCCTTGGACTGAGAGACAGACCGAAGGGGAGTACTCTGTATTCATAACAGATCCCCTGAAATGCGAATCCCAGATATTTCCTGTGCGGGTAATATACTGGGATGTACGCATCTTTCAGGTCGACTGATGTAAACCAGTCGTCTTGTCGCACGAGCCGCAGCAGAGATGTGTGAGTGAGCATTCTGAACTTATATCTTTTTAGATATTTGTTCAGAGCCCTCAAATCAAGTATTGGCCGAATTCCGTTCCCTCCCCTTTGGGAACGAGGAAGTACTTGGAATAGAAGCCGCCCTGACTCTGCTCGGCGGGTACAATAGATATAGCCCTCTTTTCTAGGAGTGAGAGAATCTCTCTCTCCAGAATATGGGCTGACTCTCCTCGGGCCTGCGAATGCAGAATGCCCGAGAAGCGAGGGGGGGGTGACGGTGACTTGGAGTCTGTAGCTCCGTGTAACTGTCTTGAGAAACCCAAGCAGATGTCGTGAGCATCTCCCGCTGTATGCTCCTTAGAGCCAGCTGAGATGTCACGTCTCTTCCCCTCTGAGTCTCTATTTGTTGTGTTATGGGGCCCTCCAGTGTCTGAGCACTGTGGTGCCCCATTTCGACAATCCCCACCGACATAGCGCATGCGCGTGGCGGTGGTGCCCTTACGGCTCCAGCCGGCACTGCGCATGCGCGTGACGGTGGTGCCTTCACAACACCAGCCGGCACTGCGCATGCGCGTGACGGTGGTGCCTTTACAGCTCCAGCCGGCACTGCGCATGCACGTGACGGTGGTGCCTTTACAGCTCCAGCCGACACTGCACATGCGCGTGACGGTGGTGCCTTCACGACCCCAGCCGGCACTGCGCATGCGCGTGACGGTGGTGCCTTTACAGCTCCAGCCGACACTGCGCATGTGCGTGACGGTGGTGCCTTCACGACCCCAGCCGGCACTGCGCATGCACGTGACGGTGGTGCCTTCACAGACCCGTCAATTGTCCGCCCTTTGAGAGAGGCCGTAGCTGCTCTCAGAAGGGGAACAGTTGACGGACTGTTTATTGTTTTTCTTTTCATTTTCGAGCTGCGCCCTTGGCTCGAAGCCTGGATGCGTAAGCGGAAAATGTTTTATGACAGAAAAATCAATAAGTGTGTGACATGTGTTTACGCGGACTTGAGGATGGTGTTGAGGCATCTCTCGAGGCGGGAACACATTTAGAGCTGGGGAACCGTAGACTTCCAGCTCTGTCACAGAGGGGAGAAGGAGGGGCTGTCACGCCGCTCGCTTCTTCTTCCTCGACTGCTGGCCGAAATTCTGGGTTGGCTGCGCCTGGGCTGCAGCCGGAACCGGAGATTTTCTAGGCCAGCTCGCCCTCGTCTCCAGCCTAGGCTGGGGACTCGGGCGGACTGCGACCTCTGCGTTTTCGGTATTTTGAACCGAGCAGGGTTCGGAGCAGCTTGGACGAAGGGCTGCGGCTGGGCCCTTCGAGGGAGGCAGAGGTGGAGGGCCTCGTCCTCCTTCTTTTTCGACTCGCATCTCCTCTGCATGGAGGCAAGAGCGGAGCCGAAAATCCCCTCGGGAACGATGGGCATGTCAAGCACATCCTCCTTTTCCCGGTCTGGGAGGTTGGTGAGGTTGAGCCATCTAGCTCTTTCCTGCACCACCATGATCCCCATTGTTTTGCCCGTGTCCTGGACGGCGCAGCGTTGGACACGGAGACAAATGTCTGTGACCGCGGCCAACTCATCCAGAACGGCCGGTCCAGGATTACTCAACATATCCTCACAGAGCTCCGCTTGGTATGCGGTTAGCAGTGAGGAAACGTTCAGAGCCCTGGCGGACAACGCTGCGGCTCTGTAGGACCGTTCAGTCATGGTCGACTGGAAACGGTCCACCTTCGCTGGCAGCGTGGGGTTCCTGCTTGGTGACGGGCCCATCCTCGGTAGGAGGTGGGCTGCCACCAGCAGTTCTATCGGCGGTATGCGGAGCAGGCCGAGCCTCTGCGGGCGAGACCATGGTGAGGTCTCGCCGGGAGCTCCCGCCTGGTGAGGCGTGGGGCTCCGTTCCCGCGTCTCTTGCCGCCACCGGGTCCCGGCCTGACACGGCGTGGGATCCCGGTTCCGCAGCTGCCGCTGTTAGTGAGCCCCAGACCGACACAGTGAGGGGCTCAGTCTCTGCGGCGGACGCCCCCGTGTCTTGATTGCCAAACGGCGAATCAGTGGACATGAGGGAGTCCTGTTCCAACAAGCTAGCTTGGTGTGCTAGCCGTCGGTGGAGGCTCTTTCGGGTGAAAAGGGCACAATGCCCGCACGAGCCGGGGTTGTCGATAGCCTCCTGGGCGTGTTCCAGCCCGAGGCAGGACGAGCAGACCTGGTGTGAGTCTGTGCCTGCTATCTTCAACCCGCAGCCGCATGACCGAGCCTCCGAGTCCCTGACTCCTCTGGTGTGAGGGGGAGAGGCGTCCATCTTGTTCGCCTCGTGGCGTGGAGAGGACCCGCTCGTAACAGGTACGTCGTTGAGAGAAAAAGTGTTACCAACCCGTCCTTAATCCGGAGAAAAAGGGACGGTGTGGGTCCTTTGTTCTCAAATAATATTGACTGGTGTGTCAATATACTTCTAATCCTTTTCTCCTCCGTGAGAGAGAAAAAGAAAAGCGTCCTCGCTACTGTGGTGTCGGTAGTAAGGGGAAGCTAGCTAGCAACAGGTGCGTAGCTAGCTTGAGAAAAATCAAAACCTTACCTTACTTTCCGGGGAAAGAAACGGCGAGGTCGATTTTAATACTAACTGGCGTTAGTATTACCGTCTTCTTGCGAAGCAGAAGGAGTAGCCGGCGAGCGCCCGTCGACCGAAATGGTTATATTTGGGTTCAGTCTGTGGACCGTTAAGCTTGTCCGGCTACTATAGAGATGTGCTCTGAAGCGAGAAGAGGTGTTTGAATGATGCATGCGTCGTGGCGCAAGCTACTTATAGGGGGTGAATTCCCTGACGCTGACGTCAAGATCACCAGCCAATCAGGATTGGCGTAATGAGATTGATGCTTCTGTTTGCTCCGCGATGAGGCGCATCCCATAGTGAGACATCGAACGGAGTGTTATGAATGAGAACACAGTTTGCTTGTGGCTTGAAAGGCCAAAATGCATAGAAAACAAATCAAAATACCCGAGGCATAAGAAGGTGAATCTGGTTAACATATTCCTGCTAATTCTAAATGATAACAACATGGCCGATGTGTAAACTTACACAGCCATGCCTCCTAAAGAGACACATACAGTACTTCAAATCTGTTTCCATTCAAAAACGGAAGCTCCATCTTCATGCTTATTCATGCATAGAAGAACATACACTTTAATCCCGCTCAGACTGTCTCCATCCGTTTTGTTTTATTTGTGTTTCTTTTTTTTGTCTTACTTACTTGATCCTATCTCAATTATAGAAAGTATCTCAGCACTCCTCAATCTCTCCCCAGAAACCCTTATTTGCTCTCTCTTTTCCTCTCGTCAATCTTCAGTACTCCACGCTGGCTCCATTCGAATGATTTGGTGTCTTGGCCCATCTGTTGTTTTAGCTGGTGTTTTTTCATTGCTCCGCTTGTGTCTTTGTTGTTTTTTCGCCACTAAATCTGTGATTCTATGGCAGCGACGTTGATTTGTTTTCCTTCTGTGATGTTCACATTTGTGTTTGTGTACACAGCGAGTGGGGGGACAGTTCAAGGAAGAAAGATTATGATATCGCCGAATGTGTTAGGATTGTGCGTGCACTTCTCTGTATGACAAGCCATTAGCGCCAGAGTGGGGTTTGAATATTCACCCAGCAACGGATAACATAATGCCACTGTACAAAATAAATGTTCTCAAGGCCTGGAGACAGTGACTAACTCAGAGAGCATGCGGCACCCTTCATCTTGGCATTCAGTCTGGTAACAAGCACTCGAAAGCATTTTTTGAAATAGGTCTTGCATAATGACGCCCGGAGTTTTTCATTAAAAATAAATTAACCATCAGCTTAGGCTGCAGGAGATTTTTTTTCCTGATTAATTTTCCTTACGATTGCCACTGTAGACTCGGTCGCAGATGCTTTTACTAAATTGAAAGCCACACCACATTGTATTTTTGAAAGGCAATTCACGTCAAACACGGTTATTTATTGGATGTGAGCATCACACACAGTTCACGCATGTCTCCATAATAATTGTTTGGCTTGTTTTCCTGCTGACGTCGGCTAATGGTTTGTAGCTAAATGCACTCTGTGTAACGGTTTCTCTCTGCTCCCCACTAATACACACACACACACACATATCCCCCTCCCCTCACCCAATCTCCTCTGCTCTCTCTATCTCCTGCTTTCAGGTGGTGCAGGTGTTGCGGGCGATTGATAGAGATGAGGGGGGGAATGACAGCACTGTGTATTTCAGCATCCCTCCAGAGTCCAGCGCTGCCCTCAACTTCAGCGTCAGGGACAGCGGAGGTAGGCACTCAATCTTTCCCTTTCTCTGTATATCTCTTTAATTCCTTTTTTTGTGTTCCCTTGGCGGACATACTATTTTCTTTACCCCCCACTTTTTTAAGGCTCTTAATCCCATGGTTTCTTTCCGCCTTTCTCTTCCCATCTTCGTCCTCTCTGTTATTTATTTTCCTTCTTCTCTCCCTTCAGACCCCTCTTCTCTCTACCTTCCCCTTTTTTCTGTCTCTGCCTCTCTCTTCCGCCATCCATCTCCCAACTCCGGTGGCCCCATTGTTTTGCTTTGTTATCCTCCTCTCTTTCAATCGTCCCCCTTGTTTGCCTTCCCCTTATCCTCTGCGTCCATCCTCTCCTCCCCACAACCAGGTATACTTACCATTTACAATGAAAAGCGTTTGAAGAAATCAGAGCTGCTTCACTTCATTTATTCTGAAGCAGCTCTATTCAATTTGGATACTTAGTATTTGTTTCTTGTGCATTCTCCGCTTTCTTACAGCCATTTTCCTGCACGAATACACAGCTCAAATGCGGAAACATACAGTACACTTTAAATTCAAGGATGTACTGCTCATTATTTGCTAAAGTTCATAGACTTTAGGTTTGAATACACATTTCAATAAATAATAAAAAATCTGTATTCACCCACAAATCTACACGCTGCTACATTCACAAACCATGTTGTTTTTGCCCACAAATATACATGTTTTGCGTTTGCACATACCCCTGGGAGTTTTTCTCGTTAACACACGCAGGTATGTTTTCAGTCAGTGTCATTTTTTATATTCCTAAAGCCTAACAAACATGCTGAATAATACATAAAACATTTGCCAAGCTGACATTTTTGAATATTTTGTAACCTGCATCATTTGCTGGGCAGTCCTTGGCCAATTACATAAGCCAGCAGTCCTCTTCTTTATTCAGCTCTCACCCCTCTTTAAACCTCAACTTGACGGCAAGGTGTTAGGTGTGACTTCAATGTGACATCGTATATATAGCATAGCATGATTTTTAATCCAGGTAGATGGTGAACAAAGAACATATTTGTTCCCATTTTCAAGAGTTAAAGGGATTTATTGTCAGATGCATAACCCCCATAAAAATCCTCCTTTAACTGCGTAACACAAATAGACATAAAACAGCAAAACAAATTGTGCAATAAATTAACAACAATAAAAGAGAATGTGACCAATGTGTATTTAAATGAAGCAATAGAAAGATAAAATAAAAAGTGAATCCTACATTTATACTGTACACTTAACGAATACTGCTTATTGTAATAATATACAAAATATGTGAGCTGTTGACATATGAATGCTATAAACATATAAAAGTGAAGGCATTTCCCATTGGCCTGCACATTTTTCTTTAACTTGGCTAACTTGAGCAAACCTGCTTTATTAAACTGTGAATCTGGAGGATAGACTGGCTGACATGTTTAATCAAAGGCCTCTTTGATGTGTCACCCGACAGTAGAACAGAGACAACGAAGAACGTGTTCTGTTCTCATGTGGACAGCTTGTCTGACAAAAGCACGCTTCATTATTTACTTTGTTGGAAAACGTCACCGATTTGATCTGGGTTTCGGATCAGAGACGATAGTTTTGACGATTCAGTTATGTTAATACGACTTTGCACCGCCTCTCATGCTTTAAATATCTTACAAACTATGTTTTTGTGCCATCTCATTTGTGGGCAGAACTTTTTGTAGCCTTTTATACTTAATTTGAAAATAAAAGAATGTCCCCCGCAGAGACCCTTCACAGCTAATGCCCAACACTATCAGACCAATAGAGCTCTCTGTCCTTTTAATCCAGAAACAGACATCCTTTATTAGTCCCACAGCGGGAAAATGTGCAGTGTTACAGCAACGGGTCAGTTCAGATACAGAGGCCAAATTAAAGTTATTAGACTAACATTAAATAAAGAGGCAGCATATGTCATTAAAATGAAATCCAAAAAACAAGTTAACATATAAAACTGTTGAAGTAGCCGCTAGTAATAACATTAATAAATTGTAGAAAAGGTGTATATTGCACATAACAGTGATTATCTCTTCAATAAGGTAGTGAAGCAGCAGCCAGTATAATCAAAACGAGATTGTCAAATCGTTTTTATTGCATATAACAAGGGTTATTGCACAACAGTGTTTTATAGTACTTTTTGGAATGGTGGTCTATTGAACCAAAGACCTGTGTGCTAATAATCTGTTTCATAAGTGAACACATACCTGAGACTTTAATCAATCACCTATCTATTGGACATTTGCAAACGTGAGCACTGTGATGTTTGGGGATAATTGAACACAGCGTGCCGTTAAAGAGGCCCTATTATACTTTTTAGGGGTTTCCCCTTTCCTGTAGTGTGTTACATAGGTTTTTGTGCATGTAAGTGGTCTGTTAAATCCCCGTGTTCCCTCCAGAGGGAGCTTCTCCCCCCCCTGCCTGAAACGCTTCCATTGGACTCCTTACTTCCGTAACATACTGACATCACACTCTGTAACACTCACGCATCTATTGGCTAGCGTTCCAACACATTGTACGTGATTTGCTAAGGGGCGGGACATCTCTTATTGGTTGATCAATCATAACAGAGCCGGCCCGCTAACCAATCAGAGCAGACTGGTGAAAAGAGGTGCTGCAGCACAGGCAGTATGAGGAAAATAAAGACCTTTTTGAACTTTAAAGGTCACTTATTATGCAAAATCCACTTCTTCATGTCTCCTCTACATCAACATGTGTCCCCTCTTCTTCATGTCTCTTCTACATCAACATGTGTCCCCTCTTCTTCATGTCTCTTCTACATCAACATGTGTCCCCTCTGTGTAAAGAGACTCTGAAAGTTTCTGGAACAAAGATTCTCTCTCTTTTTGTCCTGATCCATTTCTATAAAAACCTCTCTGAAAATGAGCTGATCAGATTTTGGCCACTTTATGATGTCATAACGATGTTTTGGCTTCTGTAACCATTAGCCAATCAGCAACCAAGGTAACCCCCCCCCCCCCACCTTATCACCTGAATCTCCTCCTAGAGCACCATTGTGTTCTTTGTAACCAAATCTCTCTCAGAGGGGAGTGGCTTCTTATTTTCATCTAAAGTAACAGACAGAGAATCAGCACTTTGGAAACAGGGCTGAAACAGAGGGGATTATGGGTAATGCTGCAATGATCTGTTTGGTATTTGGAGCCAAACACTTCAGAGACATGTTTTGTATATATCTAAGATCTATAACATATTGATGAAAAACAGTATAATAGGGGACCTTTAAAGCATGTAAACATGTCATAGAAGCTCAAAATACAGTTTTAAACCTGAAAATGATCATAATATGCCCCCTAACAACAAATGACTTGTCTTCCTTCTTCAGGCCCCACAGCCAGCCTGGTGCTGCTGTCCCAGCTCCAGCCTCTGTCCCGCTCCGCCTCCTCCACCCTAACGTTCCACGTGCCGCTGGTCCTGAGGGACGGCACGTCGGGCCTCACCAGCAGCGGGACGGTCACCGTGTCTGTCTGTCCCTGCCTGAGAGGAGGGGCGCGGGCCCGGGACAAAGACAAGGACAACCAGAGCGAGGGCGAGTGGGACTGGGAGAGAGAGGCAGTGTGTCTCCCTCAGCAGTCCTCCCTCCCCTCCCCCGGCCTCAGCACTGCCGCCCTGCTGGCTATCCTGGCCTGTGTCGCCACGCTACTGGGTAAATACTTTATTACATATAGTATACTATTAAATAATAGCGGTGTCAATCAGTTAACAATTGAATCTTGATAATCACAAAAATAATCTGCTATAAATAATACTTTATCACAAGTTTAAAATACTAGTATTACTATTTACATATTGTTAGGGAGATAAAACAAAAACACTTGTACTGAAACAAGAAATTACAAACCGGCAAGAGAAGGGTTTTACTTTATTAAACATTTCTGAAATAATTGGCATGAATTTCAACTATTTTCCGATACTTGGCTTAAGCATGGACACAGCTGCTTTCTCAGAGAGCTGCTGGGACCACCCTCTGTATAATGTGTGCTACACAGGGCCTATTATGTCTGCTTCTATGATATTGTCAGCACCACCTGTTCCTACAGTAGTTACCTTGTCTGCTTTCTCCAACTCCTGTGCAACAAGAAACTGGCGCATGCTTCAGCAATATGACTTCCACCGTTTTCACGACACCTAAAGGGAACGAGTGCAATTGCCCTTTGTCATGGATTAGATGTTCCGTTCCACCGAGGTAGTGATGGTTCTTACTGATGTCCAGTGGTCTCCATTCAGTTCAATACATGTAGCTTGTGCTTATTTTTCTGTTTTCTTTGCCTTTTCACTGCCATTTAATTTTTGCAAAAAATCCACATTATGAAATGAAGTTAAACATAAGAGATCATAACACAACAGTGAAAATAGTGTTTTATGTATAATGTTTTGTCCCTGGAAACACCCTGTTTATATAATCCACATTATATTTTTACAGCATTATTTATGAAGTTGTATCATAACATTTCCTGCTTGAAAAGGAGTGTAATGCTAATCTCCAAATAAAAAGACGAGTAAATAGTGTTTAGGGCTGTTTACCCTCCACTACATCCCTGGATGTTAATCTGCATATGAAAATAATGGAAGGCAGCAGGGTAACAAAATATGTAGTCACAGCTGCTCAACAGCAAGGTTTACTTATCCTCGCAATTTCGGTCGAGTTATCTCCTCTGACAAGGTCAGCACTAATCACTGCTAAAATAACAATTCTGAGTGATTATCCGGGCGCTCCGCTTTTTTGATATCGGAATAATAAAATGTCTCTGCCACCTTCGCTGAAACTCTTAAATGCTCAATTGGATAATGTCTAGGTGCTGAGAAGGCTTTGGCTCCTGGCCAGCATCATTGTCATTTCTATTCAGTCCATTGGACTCATGCCTAGTTGATGGGGGCATTATCATTCTGGAAGTGAACGGATCTATCAAGGAGGAAAGCTAACATGGCGTGAAGGTGATCATGCAGAGTGGCTTTTGGTTAAGTTTGGAATGATGTCCTCTAAGTGACAAGGGCATAAACCGAGCCAATAAATGCATTCAAACTTTATAGCATTTGCTTTAAGTTTGTTAAGAGTGGTGCAGGAATAAGTCTGAAAACCCAGAAATGAGTTAGCATTTTAGCACTTCAGGTTCCCTCGTCTCAAAGTCTAAGGTCTTGTGTTAGTGTTTGTAATTAGATGTTTGAAACAAGATCCACAATTGCTAAATAGCAGTTGCTAACACGTGACTAAATGAGACCACTAAACGTCTACACAGCAGATATTATCCACCTTTAGCTTAGCGCTGGTGACGTGAAGTCATGTGACTGTGATGTAGTTTATAGCCTTACTCTAGTATATAACCTCTGGCGATTGCATTTACTAATCAAAAATCACAAACTGGCATTAACATGTAGAGATTATCACGCTGAACAAACCACCTCAGTATCATAATAACCGTTAATTATTTTAGGCGCAACGTCTATCACATTTTTGCCCTCGCTGAAACATCCATCCATCCATCTATGCATTTACTCATCCATCCTTCCATCTGAACCAATCCATCCAAAATCATCCACCCAACCATCCATCCATCTTTTTATGCATCCGTCCATCCATCCATCCATTTTATGTTTACTTATGCAATATTCCAAAATCCAATGGAAACATCTCATTGCTTTTTGTTAAGGGAAGCCTTGCAATGCTAACTTTCGGGTCAGCCTACAAACATACGTCTTCACTGCTCTACTCTATACATATTTAGTTTTGTGCCAGGATATGTTATTGTGTCTTGTCTACAAGAGGTTCAGGTTAATCCCATAATAGTATATCTGGGCCCTGCACCAAATGCCAAATGTTCTGACAGAAGAAGAGAAACAGCCCCATCAGGGTCCCATCTGTTTATTAGCATGGGGCTTGGCATAAATAAAGTGAATATCAAGCCACTCTCCATGGCTCCTGTGAGAAGAGAAATAAATGTTAGTCACGGCATGAAGGTGATCCCTCAAATTGTTATGAAGGATTAGAGATTTCCCACTCCTTCCGAGAATCATTAGATCAGTTTTATGGAAATCAAATTAAGCAAACTCCAGCGATCTTAAGGCTGTTCTATTCTTACAGCAGCACCGTTACAACCTGCGGTACATCCATTAAAATAGAGGTATTTTCAAACTGGGAACAGTGAAATTGTTCAACCCTGTAACCGTGACCAGACACAGTCAAAGCATTTATGTGAAATGAAAGACCCATTAATAAAGAATCACTGCTAATTCTGTATTTTTGGGGTGTAATGAGACTAAGGGAACATCAATTATTCCTGGATCATTTTTGGATATGTCCTTAGGGTTCCTTTTTGATCACAAGGTAAAAGTATTAAATTTCCCGAAACAAGGACTTATTAAGGTTCACAAAATACTTGTCAAATAGTGCATGACTTTAGCAGAACAAATCCATATTTCTAGGTGGATTTTTATCACAGGTTCTAGGACGACTGTCAAAGAGGTTTGGTTCTTTGCCCACAGCTGTGGGTCGAATGTGGCTCTCTGCTCTGGGAATATGTAATAAGGTTTCATGGGAGAATAAAGCGTCCATTTGCCTGACTGGAGCTCAAAGTCAATTACACAGCTGAGGCATGCGGTGCTGCTGATATGGTTTACCAGCACTCTAACCCAAGGCCTCTTCTGTGTTTGTTTTGTCTGCCTCTTTGTCTGCCTGCATATTTCTCCCTCCCTCCTGTTCCTCCTTCCCTTTATTTCCCCTGTGATTTATGTCCCCTCCCACCTTGTTAATCATTCTCTTTCCAATTTCTCTCCCATGCCTCAATATCCTCTATTCCCCCCGCCGCCCCTCTGCAGCGGTGAGTGGCCTGTCGCTGTCTCTGCGCCGGCAGAAACGTGACTCCCTGTCGCCGCTGGAGGAGGACGACGTACGTGAGAACATCATCACGTATGACGACGAGGGCGGGGGCGAGGCCGACACGGCCGCTTTCGACATCGCCGCACTTCAGAGCGCCCCGCACAGCTCGCGCTCTCGTGGCTATCGCACACTGGACAGCAGGAATGTGTGAGTAGGCATAACTGAGTGTTAAAGGTGTCCTACTATGCAAAATGCACTTTTTGATGTCTTTTATACATAAATATGTGTGCCCGGTGCCAGGGAACTCACAAAGTGTCAGAAAAGAAAACCCTCTCTTTTTTCCTCCGTACCCACATCTCTAAAAACGGGGCTACAACGGAGCTGATCAAGATTTGCGTCCGATATGACGCAATATCGGAAAGTCAGAAACGTCGCTATCAGAAACAATGCGCAACGTTTTTGAAGTAATATGGACTTTGTTTACATTAGCAAGCATCGCTAACACTCAGAGCTAAACTGTACTGGAGAGAGTATGTGTAAAAAAAGCAGGAAATAAAAAAAGGAACTCACCTTGTGGTAAACCCGCAAGAGATAAAGCATTTGAGCTCCATACTGTTTCAGAAATAATCCTTGATGTGGTTTTGGAACATGATGGCGTTTAATCACGGCAGCATTTAGACCCCATTTACACGGGAGCCCAAACGGACCGAATTCGTTATCAAAAAAGTATTCCGTTCACACACATTCGGCTCATTTAACGTGTCCGTTCACACGAGACCTCTGGAAACGCTGTAGTAAATATGCCGGGCCTGTAAGTAGCGCTGTACTTCTGCCACAAAATACACCAAAAGCAGCGAAGAAGCCCCCCGAGCATGGTTGCCCTTCTGTTTATGTCCCGCGGTAGATTTAGCAACATGTAGTTCATGAAATTCTCCATGTCCACAAGTTGCTGATGGTTGTGGTAGAGGAGCTGTAGATTTTGCACTAACATCTGTAGAATGGTCAGTAGCAGTAGCACTAGCAGTAGCTACTGACCATGCTACAGACAGTAGCTACTGACCATGCTACAGCAGTGAGCAGCAGAGGCGGGGCTATGGCTTCATCGTTATCAGGAAATGATCGTGTAGGACGTACACACGGAGCCGTTTGGCCCCCCAAAGCGTTCCGTTTGCAGATCTATCCACCTTGGGACCCGTTATCGTTTCCGCGGTTCCGTTACGGCCTTGTGTGAACGAACGGGCTATACACGAGAGAAAAGTAGTAGATACAACCCGTTTCGTTCTCGTGTATACACCGCCTTAGCTGAGAATCTCTCGGTAGAATTCTGAGCAGCCATTAGCTTTTCTTTTTTTTAAAGCTAAGAACCCAAAATCAGCGTTTCTCTAACAGGGCTGAAATGGAGGCGTATGAGGCATGGCTAGAATGCATGATCTGTTAGGTATTTTGAGCAAAACCCATCAAAGACATGTTTTTATTTTTTTATATATCTGAGACCCATAATATATGCCTAAAAAAAGCATGATAGGAAACCTTTAATGTGTGTGTATGGGAGGGTTTGTTTACACATGCACATATATATATATATAACTCTTTTATATGTTGTTTAATTGCCTCAAACACACATGGCTGGCCTCATGTTATCTGCTAAAAGGAAGTGGAGGGAGGAATCCAATTTAGCCCTTCAGAGTAAAAGCTTTCATCTCGGTCCAACACTTAATTGAACCTCTTAAGTAACTGATCAAGTCTTTATTCCCTGATCATAATCAGTCACCGATCAAACTGCTGAGACAGAAGGCTATCAAGCTCTTCAGTCCTTGGAGACCACTTTGTTGTGCTCATTTGTTAAAGCCCGTTTATGGTCTCCTACATCAGAGAGTTGTTTGCACCCACTTTGATGTTTCAGTGAAACATTGTGATTGCCTTTGGACTAATAATTAGCTCAGATGAATTCATGCAAGCCATGTATAGAGAGGCCATAAACAAGCTCAAAGGCTGCATTTAGTTGATCGAAAATTGCTTCTCGCAATTTATGGAGGTGGACAAAACAACATGAAAACCCCTTTGGATCTATTTGCAATCCAATGCAATATCCATGCAATAACCAATACCTTTGTGAAGTTTTTAATGTATCTTTTACTGTGTGTCGCAAAGCAGAGGTTAGTTAAACTTTATGGGAACTATGAAGCTGTACTTTATGGTTCTGTTGCATTGCCTCTGTAAAATACAGAGACTCTTCAACACATTTCCACATACATTTCTATTCCAGTTGTCATGGCTGTAGCAGCGTCTTCTGAGACAAGCTCTTGTTAAGTGTGAGAAAGTAACTCTGATCACTTGCATTTGGCTGAACAGAAATACCCTAACATGTGGATATAATGCAATATTGTTCACTGTCAGATAGGAAAAGATCCCACAAAATCTGACTCGATTTACCAAAGTTGAATGAAATATATTTTTCCTTGTGTCTTACAGACGTTATGCCCATCATAATCAAGAAAAAGCTCGCACCTATAGCTGGGCTCAGAATCCGGGCGTTGAACACAACTACTCAGGACCCGGAGGACCTCTCTATGGCCGCCTGTGTTACAGCAGCCACACGTTACCCGTTCTCCGCCGCACACCAGGTGGAACATTTGAACCGGCCCTTGCCGAGCTAGGATACCGCTACCCTGGGGGCCAGCCAGACCACTCTCTGGTCATCCAAAACCAGGGGGCTATGGTGGGGACCATGGATTCCGGGGCGGTGTACATCACTCCAACAGAACTCAGCACGGGCAGCCGAACGGGGAGTCGAACGGGAAGCCGTGACGGAACTGGACCCCAAAGCGGGGTTAGCACGTCGGATGGAGGGACGCCGAGGACCAATGACAGTCGCGAGAGAGGTGGAGGGACTGGAACTGCGAGCAACTGCACCGAGGGGAGCAGTGAGGACAAAGTGAACGGCAGTCAAGATGTGGACTGGGTAAGAAACAATCTGACCTATTTTACACCAAATGCACAATATGGGAGCATAATTCAATCTAATTTGACCCCAAATATGCTATGACAAGCGTACAATGGCCTTCTGGCTTTTACAGGCGAACATATAAAGCAGAAGTAATAATGCCTCACATTTATTTTGTAGAGAAAAGTTAATAGGCGATTGACAGATGGGTTTGGATGGATGGACGGATGGACAGATGGATAAAAGGGTGGTTGGGTGGGTAGAAGGATAGATGAATGGATTGATAGATGGATGGGTTTGGATGGATGAATGGATGGATGGACCTATGCATAAAAAGATGGTTGGGTGGTTGGGTGGATGATTTTGGATGGATTGGTTCAGATGGATGGATTGATAGATGGGTAAATGCATAGATGGATGGATGTTTCAGCGAGGGCAAAAATGTGATAGACGTTGCGCCTAAAATGAATTAAAATGAATGATTGACTTTATTAATGATAGATTGCTGCATGGGAAAAATGCATTAAAGATGAATGAATGGCTCAATTATTAAATGGGTGAGTTTGAAAGTAATTAAGCAAGTGTAAAATAATAATTACGTTTGCGACCATACTGATATGCTTTATTATTAAAGTGATTGCAACGCTATCATATTCTTCATCACTACGCCACAGTCCTACAATGGCAGAAAGTCTAATGCTGTATAATGCTGGAGGATGATAATGATTCAAACATGTCAGCACATTTATATCTTGCTGTTCATTATCTTTTTCTTGGTTTTGTTTTATTTATTAGGCCATGTAAAGTCTGTCTGGCCCTTCCTTTTTTAATTTCTCCAATATTTTATCTCTCGATCACTTCCCTCTCCATCTCCCCTTCACAGTGTAGTGTTAGCTCATTCTAGTGTTCAATTAATATCTATGGCTTCTTCCAACTCTGCCTTTCTTCCACTCTCTTCTTCTGTCTCCCATTCATGTTTTTTTGTCATCATATGTTTCCCCTGCTTCCCTTATGTTTGTCCCTCGTCTTTTCATTACTTTATCCCAAATTCATCCCATTTTATCTCAACCAAACCTAACAGTACCACACTCTACCCCAACCCCGAACTGAAACCACTCGTGCTCGCCTACGTTCCCTCCAGGTGCAGTCGGAGACATTACCCAGGGAGCATCACCTCGTCATGACCAGATCTGGCTCCATGGTGGGCCAGGGTCACGCCGCAGGAGGCTGGGTCTGCGACTCGTCTACCCTCCCCCTCTCGGGACGCAGGGCCTCCCGAGGGGGCTTGTCCCCGAAACGCATGGGTTCCGGTCATGCTGAATATGACTCCAGCGGAGGAGGGGGAAATGGAAATGGAAGTGGGCGAACAAACCCAGATGGACAGCATCCTGCGAGTGCGCGGAACTACGCCACTGTCCTCCAGGGGGAGGTGAACGGACACAGGGACTATCCCGGCAGCTTGGGGAGAGGAGGACTAGAAATGGGGAGCAACTTTGTGGTGGCGAGGCAGGACAGGGATGGCGGAGGGATATCATCCGTTTACCCAGAAGCTGCTGGGATGATCGGGGACTGGCGTGATCGGATGGGTTTAGGGGGGTATGTTTTAGGAAGAAGGGATATAACCCCCCAGATTTTCCCCTTCCATGGGCAGCCTCGGGGAGCATACGGAGGGGTGATGGGCTTCGGGTCCGGCTGGGTTCCGGGAATGGATGCTGCCCGAGGAGCTCCGGGGCCGGGGGGTCCCTCCCTAGCACTGAGGGTGGGCGAGTTCCTACGCCTGCGTCTCGCCCAGGTCACTTTTGACCCGTCGCAGCCACCGTACGACTCTGTGCAGGTGTACGGCCTGGAGGGCACAGGGTCCCGGGCCGGGTCCCTCAGCTCCCTGGAGAGCGAAGGAGAGAAGGATGCGGAGAAGGAAGAGTGGGGGGCCGGGCTGGAGGAATGGGGACCCCAGTTCCATAAATTAGCTCAACTCTTTACAGACAGGGAGAAAGAAAAAGAGGAAACAGATGAAGTCGGTGCCAAAACGGAGAAGGAAAAGAGAGATGAGCCGGAGAAGAAAGAGGAAGGGGAGCAGGCTGGAGAAAAGGGAAAAGACTGAGGAAACGATAGAAACGAAACAAATAAGGGGCAAAGGGGGTAAGAGAGAGAGGGAGGGGATGGGGGGATGATGAAAAGGCAACCAGAGCTAGAGTAATGTGAAGAGAAGTTAAAGGAGAGAAAGATGAAGAGGCAAAGTAATCAAAAGAGACAGAGAGAAATGAGCCTAGGAAGGGAGGAGAGTGCGAGGGCAGGGGAGGGAGTGATTGATGTAATTTAAAGCAATAAGTGTTGAAACGCTGATATGGTTGAGCACAGATACTGAGACAATGCAGAGACTGCTTCGGCTCGGGGCAGCAACTATTTGTTAAATGCTTTGGACAAAGAAAAACAACCCAAACATCCAAGACTCGATTTAATTCAACTCTCACGTATACGGAATGATCAAGCAGCAGGAAACAAGAAGTGTTTGCGCTTTGTGTGTGGAATAGTCTGTGAGAGGATATGGGTATGTTTGCAAATCGCACTTCTATGGGTGCATATTTAACAAAGAAGGAGGAATCATGAAACCCAGGGACGATTTCAAGATGGGACTGATGACTGATGATACGCTAGCTGCAACATTAGTTTTCGGGACAATGTGCAAGAGTGAACAAATACAAAGCGAGTTGATAAACTAGGATAACACACCGAATGAAATATGTATTTGAATATAAAGTCTACGGATGTGTTGAGAGAGAAATGATGGGGGAAAGTGAGAAGATTGTACAGAAATTGTTACTTTATATTTCCATCTGCAGTGGCAGAAAAGTGAATTATTCAGCTCACTACTTCATTCCAAATGAAAATGATAAATCATTTAAATCCTGCAAAAGATTCCCCCTCCTCTCAGCCCACAAGGAACACAGACATTGTGAAAGATTTAAATGCGTTAGGGATGTGATCCCCACAACCCCTACCCCTGTCATCCCTGCAGCTTTTTGTAGTCGAGTGTTGGTATGTTTACAAAGATGCACACACAAACACACAAGACACAAAATAAATGATGATAAGGCTTTGATTGTACTAAAAAAAACACATCCACTAGAATTCCATCTACTTTACAAAGTAATGAACACCCTATTATTCATCTCTTAAATGTTTTTATGGAAGAAAGTCTCCTATTTGTTATCACCCACTCTAGTCTCACTCTACACGTCTTTAGGACAGTATGCATGAAAACCTAAAGAGGCAATCAAATCCATTCTGAACACTTCCCCAATGAAAGATATTCATATTATAACACTGCAGAGACTCTCGTGAAAATAGGCTTTTCGTTGTTGTTTAAAGGTCAGGATGCAAATGAGCTGGAGTTTTCAGCTGGAATGCACTTTTATACCATGTGATGTTTAATAATAGATTAATCATGTCAAAGATTACATTTGTTTTATAAGATGTCAATTAAAAAAAAAAATAACTGTATGTAAAAACATTTCAAATGTAAATACCACTGAATATTATTCCTAAAAGAGAGTATATAAAATAAGTGAAAAAATCCAAATGGAGTACTGTTGGTACTATCTGTATGTACTGTAGATTAGAAATGGATTTACTCAAATGGATTCAACAGCCTCTTGGACTGAAAACAACACCATGTATTCTCCACCTGTGTAATAAGTGAGCAGGGTTGTTTTGTGGTAGCGCTCATCTGAGATGGACAAGCCAGGCATTCAATAATACATGTGGCCTCCAGCAGAGATTTGTTGTGCAAAATATTGGTAACATGAAGCTTCTGCTATCGAGGATCCCAGTGGGAGGAAAAACTTCATGTGGTGAGGAAAAATACCCCTAATGGGCATACAACAGAAATTCAGTATATTTCCCCCAAAATCTGAATTATTATTCAGCCAAAGTGATACAATAAAATTGAATTTCGAATATGCTCCGTCAGTGCTGCACTGCCTGAGAGACACAGATTAAAGATTTAAAGATGGTTACTTATCTCATTAAATATAATAAACTGTACCTTTGAGAATATGATTTTTAATAATGTCTATCAAATGAAATCTTTCCTGCATTTCAGGCAATGCAACTCAAGAACCAGCATTCTGCTTTGATCAAGTCTAATTTTGTAAAATAATGACCTTAGACTCAGATTTGTAGGAGTCCTAGGGAATTTCGTCCTCACACCCTAACCAGAATGTGGAAGCTTTTGGGGTGCCATTACCGAAATGTTACCATTTGCTTCACTGTAAAGCCACCCACATGCCACCAGTTTGGTCTGCCCATAATCTTGTCGTCTTCTGTCAACATTTAGTTAATCAATCAGGAAGTCAGGCTTTACTTGGGCTTAATCAAAACCCAAACACAACTCTATACCCTTTAGCTGAGCCACAGACTTGTCCATACAGTGCCACGGTTGCAAATGGATGTAACCAGGACCATTGTAAAAAATAACGCACAATGACCGTATAAGAGTGGGGGGTGCAGAACCTTGGGGTGTTCTTGGTTATTAAGTAATAGAGCTTAACTAGATACCTGAAAGCTACCATTATGTTTCATCAGCTTTGTAACAACAATCCAAATGGAAATTCACTTACATCAGCATACTCAGTGCCAACGTTAGGAAAATTCCGGTTTATTACAACTTGGGTCTTACTTTAATATATTTTTCCAATATTTAGAGCTTGGCACTGGAATTTCAGGCCAGTCAAAGGTATTCTGAAGATAACATGGAGCGATCAAGTTATTACAAAAAATGTCTGTTAACAAAAGATATCAACGTTTCCTGACCTATGTATGTCCGGGTTTAAATCTGATATAGAATAGATAAGAAATAAGAACCATTGGGACCATTTTTTCCTAGACATTTGAGAGAATAAAAAGAGAGAAATTATAACAATCATTTTGACCCCATTTACACCAGGTCATTTCATGTGTCTTGCTCAAAAACCTGTATATCTGGATTCTAAAATACTGACTTGTCAAGTTGTAATACACCAGAATTATGATGTAACCATTATTCTATTGGGGAGAACTGTCAAAGGATATCCAATAGAGGGATAACATTGATGTCTCTTATGATGATTTCACTTGTACACCTAAAATGACTGCCAAAAAACTTGGGAACAATTTGTTATGAGAATGAGTATAGTTGGTAAGCCCACTAATGTGTTGCTTTGTAGATGCATCATTTTGACAATGTTTTCCTTAGCTTTTATGTGGAATGTGCCAACTTTCTGAGTAGCTGTCTCTCACGACACAATTAAGCTATCCTAAGTTTTATAAACGTTTTTGCCAATTCACGGGCCGCCAATAGCAAAATAAATTAGCATTGTTTATCATAACTGGCCTTTCTGGCCTTCCAATCATATGGTGTATTCTAGAGCCTTTGATTTGTTCCAGGTGTTTCATCTCTGGTGATTGGTCTAATTCAAAGCTCTACTCTGGCTGATTGGTCAAAATCCAAGTGATGATTCTCCTGATTTGGCTTATTTCTGAGTTCTGAAGTGCTGCGCTGACTAAACCACTTGACGCAGCTGATTATACCACCTTGTGAGCCCAGTAAATGTGTTCAATCAAAAGCTTGATTAGTTGAATCAGTTGTTTTAAACACAAAACAAGCCTGCAGTCTTTGCAGCACTCCAAAACTCTTTTGTTTACTCTTTCAACTAGCTTCAACCCACACTGGCTGACGACATTGGTCTTGTCAGGCCATTTGTCAAGCACTCTGTCCAAAACAAAAACCTTCTTGATACTGAGAATACTGATGTCACTAGCAGAAAAGAAAGATGCGAGTAGATATCTTAGCTTTTAGAAGTTGAAATATAGCTTAAGGGTGCAGGTTAAGATAAGTATAAATATATTAACCCCAAACAAGTAGACCCTATTGGTTCTGTGCCCCCCGGGTGACTTCATTGCTCTTGCACGATGTTGATACAATTCCACAATTTCGTGCTGAACAAAGTGTATTTATTTCTGTTGTACTTTTTCTTTTTGTAAATTTGAATAAAAAAGGAACTATTTCAAAGAGATGAGTCAGACCCCTTCTGTGCTTTCTCCTGCAGTCTTCTGAGTTTCTAAGTAATCTGACTTCTGCTGCTAGTGTGTGTGGTGTGGTGTGTGTGTGTGTGTGGTGTGTGTGTGTGTGTGTGTGTGTGTGTGTGTGTGTGTGTGTGTGTGTGTGTTGTGTGTGTGTGGTGTGTGTGTGTGTGTGTGTGTGTGTGTGTGTGTGTGTGTGTGTGTGTGTGTGTATGTTAGTGTTTGTGCATTTGTTAACTTGTAACAATGTGAGGACCAAAATAAGTTTTACCAACGTGTGTGTCCACACTTCTTCAAAGGCCAGTTTGAGGGTTAAGACTTCACGTTAAGGCCAGAATAAGGTTTAGGTGAGGGTAAGCTTTCGGGTTGGGGTGAGGGTTAATTATGAAGGTAAATGTGAGTATAAGGGTGTAGGGAATATATTAAGTCAACAAGGGTCCTCACAAAAATAGAATTACAATGTAGTGTGTTTGTGTGTATTCTCGTATTTTTCACACAATGAGGACCAATACAAGTTTTTAATCAATGAGTGAGGACATTTTTGGAATGTGAGGAGTGTCTTCACTTCTTAAAGGTGGGGTAGGTAAGTTTCAGAAACCGGCTCGAGTGCACTAACATTTGAAAGTACACAGCCGAAAAGAATCCGCCCCTTCCTTCAGACTTCCTTACAGAGCACCTCCTCCAACACACATGAACGCGCACATGACGTCAGCAGACTGGTGAAAGTGGCCGCCTGTTGCTGGCGAGTCATTGATGTACTGCTGCAATGCACGCCCAATGACGGCACGCCCAATGAGGGCACGAGATACATTTGTGCGTGCACGAGATGGAAGGCTGACAGACAGAGCGGCAATCCAATCCGTTTAGCCGGGCCGGCTAAACGGATTGGATGTACTTTTTACAGCGCCACGGCTTCCGCAGATGACATTTTTTAATGGATTTTTTGTCAAAGCACTTCAGATATTCATTGCTATCAGGATGTTAAGAGCATTCCATGGAATATAACACAAAGTGTATCTCGAACCTACCCCACCTTTAAGGCCGGTTTGAAGGTTAAGACTTAATGTTAAAGTGCAGGCTAGAATTACGTTTAGGTAAGAGTAATAGCTGGGTTGGGTTTAGACCTTTAGTTGTGATGTTTAATGTGAGGATAAGGGTTTAGGGAATACATTATGTCAAAGAGGGTCCTCATAAAGATAAAAGTACAGAGTGTGTGTGTCTGTTTGCAAGAGAAAGAGACAGAGAGCGATGGACGGATGTTCTGTACAATGCATACAAATGTGTGCACAACTTGTGAGCATATCTTGTTGTGGGTAGGTGGGTGTGCCTCCTCAAATTGGCCCCTTGAAATTTCCGAGCCACTCAGAGTGTCTGTATGTGTGTGTCTGATTGCAGAAAGAAAGAACACCTTGTCTGGTCTGATCCAACCTGTCGGGGGGATGTGAGGTCAGTAATAGAAGGACAGACTGTGAGTTCAGCAAAGCAATCAGGCTTTCAGATGGACGAGGGGAGTATTCTGTTTATTCACCGCGAACAAAAAAGGAAGAAAAGGGCATTTTGAACTCAAGAGCACCAGTGAATAGAGTACACCTGACAGCTGTGACCAAATAACACAAGGCCACTTTACCAACCTTTGCAGCTCTCCTTTTATTCTGCAGCCTTCGTCCTGGCTGAATGATGGATCGGGGACATGTGGGCCATTGCTGTGTGACTGAATAGCTGGTTAAAAAGATTTATTACAATAATCAAATATGAAGGAGGGGATTATTTCTACATGATGGTTTAGAGAATGATCGTGTTAGCTGGGTCTGCGCTTGATTACAATGATAATACCCGCCTCAAGTCAGGAGAGGGAGAGAAACAGAGGGAGAGGGAAGGGATAGAGGGAACCATATTAGCAGTTAATATGCAAGTCTGTTTCATTACATAAAATCCTATTTGTGATTGGGTTAGAGCTGGTTCTGCTGAGCGCCAAGGAAAAACGCCTTGCCATCTCTTGTGTGTCCGTGCTTTCCCATAATTATGAGATTCATGAAGCTGGCATGCCCCCCTACGGAAGCAGCATGTATCTAAAGAGGATACGTAGTCAGTTGGAGGCAAAACGGAGCTTTAGCTGGCGTTAACCTCCCGTCATGAAACTGATAAAACATTATTATCGATGTAAGACTCCAATATGTATGTTTATCCCTCTGCCTTAAGCATCAACACTGCATTGCAGCACCCTACAGAGGTGAGTTGCTGCTGTCATGGCATTGTCAATAATTACAGCATGCATAATTGATCATATTATAATGGCGGGGCTGGAGATAAAAATGAACTGTGTTAAGACTATACACCAGGGAATTACACTGTACTGGAGAGCTATACTCACACTCGATATGCTTTAGGATTGCATCACAGGACATAAGAGTTGGTGTATGTGAATTCAAGAAGATGGAGATTCCTCATTCTGTTTGAACCTTACTGACACAGAATCCCTCTGGCTATTCAGCACAGTGTGAGTGCTTGTGTGTCTGCGCCTGGGCCTGTGCATCTTTGCATTTTAAGTACATATAAGCTTTAAAAGCAGATTGAAAACCCCAGAAAGGTGAATTTCCTCAGTAATTCAACTTTGTGGATGTTACAACTTCCCGCCCCGAAGTTACAGTTAACTTTTAACACCACCTGTCCGAGCGTATTCCCTTTTTTAACTGGCTCTGTTCCTATTTTCCGTCTGCTCTTTCTCCCTCCTCTTCTCTGGCGCTTCCCGGCTCGTGCGTTCCGCTCGGGACGCTCTCAGAGTTCACTGGCTCATTTCAAGTGGAAAATTAAATCTTCATTAACAATCTTAATTAGAGTTCGATCTCCCCATAGAAAGCCGACAGAGAATCCATAGTGTAACAGGGGGAGACCTGCAGCGGGAGTTGGTTTCAGCAAGTTGGGGGTGGTGGGGGGGGGGAGGATTAGTAGGGGTAATTAGTAAATGGGATCTTCAGGGTAAATTACACAAGAGGTATTTACACTTCACAGGCAGGGGGGAATGGATGGCAGAGACGGATAATTAAAGCGGCCTGCTGGTTGATGGCGGACACTGCAATGAAAGTCGGACATGTTTGAGCTGCCTCTTGGTGACCATTCAGTTCTTGTTTCTGCATTGTTTCTGCATTGTTGGCAAACTAGAGCTCAGTGCGAGGGAGGGAGGGAGCAGAGCGGGGTTAAACGGGCCATTATTAGTCAGAAAATCTTCTTTGCAATCGCTTCTTGTCTTGCTTTTTGGTGACATGGTGTTACGGGGTGACATAATCCCTTATGCATTTGCCTAAAGGCCCTGTCACACTGTCCCGAAATTGACACCCGATGGACACACGATAAAGGAAATGTTCAAATTCGGCTGTGATCGTAGCAACATCGGGCCATTCGTGAGGGCATCTAAGCCATCGTATGACCGCCGGTGGAGTTTCTCAGGCTCCGGCAGCAACTTCGTGAGCGGCAACTTCGTAAGGCACTCGTGAGGGCATCTTGTCAAATCGTGTCATCTTCGTGTTATCATCGGTGCATTCACCCTCACTCTGATCGGGGCGAATGCCCGATGGCACCGATGATAACAAGATGCCCTCACGATGGCTTTACGAAGGGCACAATTGACGCACGAATTCAACACGAAAATGAACCTTCGCAAGATCCTTCGGCAATTTTTTGGCATGCCAAAGATTTTGCCACCGCTCACGAAGTTGCTGCCGGAGCCTGAGAAACTCCACCGGCGGTCATATGATGGCTTTAGATGCCCTCACGAATGGCCCGATGTTGCTACGATCACAGCCGAATTTGAACATTTCCTTTATCGTGTGTCCATCGGGTTGTTTTATTGCACAACAAAATCATGTAAATATATGATGTAAATAACCCAATTTGTGTTCTGTGAAACTAAAAAGGATATAATATATTATTTTGAAGGACAGTTGACAGGAAGTTGTTGTTGTTATGGAAACAACATTACAGAGAAAACGTAATATTTTCTACATATAACGACGGATAAAGTAAAGAACAAAGTCTGAAGATATCAGTACAGTATCATAGTACTGTAACATAATTGTTTTTGGTACTTTCATTGCAGTTGTATGTCTTAAATGTAATGTAAATGTTGCCTTTGTGTGTGGTTCGGGGCCATCTTCGTACGAAATTCACAATTCCATATTCGTGTGTCCATCGGGTGTCAATTTCGGGACAGTGTGACAGGGCCTTAATAGCAGACAGTAATCATTCAAGGGCACTACTAAGCATGCAGCCCAATGGTCCCTCTCCTATTCACATTTACATACTACTATAACAGCCTGCAGGTACTTGGCAACAAATAAATAAAACAGTTATGTTCCAGCACATTTAAAATATACGCACTGCTTGTAAAAATGAACGCCATAAACTCACTGCTGTTCAAGGAGTTTAGCACACAATGTTTCAGATTCAATACATTTATATTGGGGTGGTTTACCATGAGGAAATCTTTACTCTGATGACGAATATTTATTTTCGGATCCAGAGTGCTGCTAGCAGGAAAACCATTACTAGAAAATGGTTAAAGATTAACATTATTTATGATATTTCCACGATGGAAAGGATTACCTTTGCTGTAAGAATGTAACAAGCAAGGAATATTTTCTTTGAGTTGAATAATGTAGGACCGGGTGGAGGGATTATATCTCCACGCTGGCCTGGGAGCGCCTTGGAATCCCCCAGTCAGAGCTGGTTGATGTGGCCTGGGAAAGGGAAGTTTAGGGCCCTCTGCTGGAAGTGCTTCCTCCGCGACCACACTCAGGATAAGCGGTCGACAATGGATGGATTGATGGATGGATATTACACCAATCTGACCATCATCTGTGTTAGAGCCAGTATTTTGATTTGATAAGAAAGGCCACCCAATTGTGACGTCTGTAGTCAACGCACTATAAAGGACTACAATTCCCACGGCGCCTGTGCTAAAGCCACAGTGATGGGCAACCTGTTGAGAGACGC